TAAAAAACGTATTTGTTTAAAATCTTATTAAAATTTGGATAAACAATTGTGAATTTAAGAAGATTTAAAAAAAAAAAAAATCTTTGGTCTGGGTTTTTTGTTATAAACATTTACATATAATGATTCCGCAAAATTTAACATTTTAATTTTTTTCGTCTTTTCATAATTCATAGACCTGATCATTTAACGGAAATGTGTCGTAGTCAACAAAATATCATCCGAAGCACCGCGGAAGTGCATTTAACCAGGAAGTTCACGCCTTCCTCCTTACTGTGACACAAAATATGTCTAGGGCTCGTTTCGAACCTGGATATCCTGCTTATAAAGCAAGCGCTCAACCACTGCGCCACGGCCGCAATACTTTATTACACCGTCTTTACTACACCGAGTAAGGAGAGATCCGAAGAAAAATATAGCGTTTAAGCCATTTTGTTTTCAAAAAAAGCCGTTTTATTTTGTGTGCGTTTTGAATGGTTTATTTTTTTAAAAAATTACGAAGCTCGTTGTTTTATTTTGTTTATAAATAATAGGTGATTTTATTATTATATATCTACGAGTTTCAAGTTTAGCCTAATACTATGGGACAGAAGTTATATAAAAGCTGAAACGTTTCTGTTTAGTAATTTATTCAAACAACTACAAAGAGATTATGAAAGTAAATTGATATGAATGAAAACTAATGTGAAAACTTCGATTTTAACGTTTTTACTGTTTATGGAAAGATAAAATAAGAGATTTTTAGTCATTTATTGAATTTTTTAGTACTATAAACAAGGAGACATTTTACTTCAGAATAAAAAAGACATATTTGGAATGTAAATATTTAACACATTTGTTTCAGCTGTTTTTATGACGTCAGCTGTTTTTATGAGCTGCCCCGTCGCGTTTTATGTATTTTAGTGGTAGTTTTGTTTTGCGTGATGCTTTGGTTAAAAAAAAGAAAATTAGAAAAGCTTAAGTTCTACTTTTTAAAAATATATAACAGTAAAAGTCAAAAAGAAGCGATAAACACAAAAAATTGATGTTTAAAAATGTAAGTTTTTGTTTTTAAAAAATGCAAACTCTTCGGATCTAGATACGAAGAATTTGCATTTTATAAAAACAAAAAAAAAAAAGAAATATCTCTACTTAACTACAACAACACAAAAAATCATTTATCGACAATTAAGTAAGAACATAACTAAATCGAAATTTAAAAAAGTAAAGCTTTTTATGAATAAATATTTTAGTAATAAATAAATCTACTATAAAAGAAGGTTTGACAATTTTAGCAAAATGGATATTTATTAAATAGAATAACATAAGAAATTCACCGAAATGCAAAAATAATGTAAAGAGCGGAAAACATTTTTTAAAGTGAGGCTTTCTCTCCGGTCCGAAACAACTTATATTTGAGAACATAGCAAATGCACGATAAAAAGACTTTATTTTAACTAATTAAATATAATAAAATTAGAAAATTTATATAACCTTGCCGACATCCTTAAATTGATGTTGACAGGCTATTATTAGACTTATACAACTGCACTATATATCATTAGATAGCTTATTTCTTCAGCTGCAAAACTACGTAGATATCTTCAGATTTTATGAGAGTAGTTGGTAGTACCATTATCAATTGTACAGTGTGTCAAAAGAACTGATTCTCGCTCACTCGAACTCAATCTCGCCATGTTTATTTAAAGTCGCTCACTGGCTGACTTTAAATAAGAGCTCTGTGGCCGTATTCTCATCTCTCCGTTAAGCTTAACGGAGCTTTTATATAAAATTTCATGACAATATTTATAAGTCAAAAAATGACATAAACTTTATTTAAATTTGTTTAAATAATACTAATACTAAAATAAAACGAATTTATTTTAAAAAATCATACTTTTAAAGAATTTTTTTGATAATGTAGCTAAAAAGAAATTTTAGACTAACACTCCATTTAGCTTAACGGAGAGATAAGAATAAGGCCACAGTTAGTTAAAGTACTTTTTTTTTTTTTTTTTTTTTTTTTAAGTACTTATAATCTTGTTAGTCAATTTATATGCTCTATTGCATCATTTTATTTTGAAAATTATAAAACCATGGGTTTTTTTTGAATGCGAACTTTCGCCCCTCTCTAGATTCTCTATATAGACTAGAGACTCTAGATAGACAAATATTGTCATCTTTTTGCCCAGTCATGAATTTAATTTTTATATAGAGCAGCCGTGGCGCAGTGATTAGAGCATGGATCTTGCAGTACAAGGGTTGCAGGTTCAAATCAAGCTCGAAGCATATTCGTTATCGGTTAGGCTTGAAATGGGGAATCAACTCACTAAATGTTTATGCCCTTATGGCGACTTAGTGAACCATCCCAACTGGGTCCCAGCTGGGATTGACTGGGATTGAGATGGAATTACTGGGTCTGGGTTCGGGCTGGAATTTGTTCTGGGTGCCAGATGAGTCCCATATGGTGTAAAAATTATGCTGCAAATAAAATCTGGGTTTTTACTGGGATTAGCATATGGCTTCAGTAAATGGTTTACGGCTGGTATAAATATGGGAAGCGTGGTTTAGTGGTAGCGTGTATTTTCTAATCGAAGCAGTTTTTTTTGGCATTTTTTTTATTAAAAAGTTTTGTTGAAATAAAATTAGAAAACTCTCTTAAAATGTCATATGCAGTAACTCAGCTTGATTTAGATTAAATACACACTTGCATTCGGAGTAAATATACACAGGAATTTCTTTTAATTATTTTATTGTATTTTTGTAAAAAATATTTATATATCAGTTTTAATTCTATACTAAAAGTGTAAATATGTAACAATCAATATTTAGTCATCCGTTTAAAAAACAATTTCACACATACAAAAATGAGAAAATATGACATGCTCTTAAATTTCTTTAATGCTCTGCATTTAAGAAATTTGAAAAATGAAATTTTAGACTGAAATTCAGACTGAATTTCTAAGCTTTTAATAAGTTTGAGATATGTTAAAGTTAATCTTTTTTTAAACTTGTAAACGGTTTAATCAATCTGAAAGCATATTCTGTAATTATGCAATAGATAATTTTTAAAATAGTTTATTTGGTTTAGTATGCTTACAGTAACGGTTTAGTGTGTTACCTCAAAGACTTTTCGAAAAACCTTTGAATTTGTTATGTTTTGTAAAGTGACAAAGTTTTTTTACAAAACATAGGTAAGTTTTACTATCCCGACAGCAAGTATATACTGGTCCGATAATGGCTAGCCAATTCCAGCGAATTCTTAAAAGCCCCGATAAAATTCCATTCTTGTATTGCCATTTCTGGGAAGCCGTAACAGGGCCATTGCTGAGCCTTTAGAAAATTGCCTGAGCTGGGTAGCCGCTAAAAAATCATTAATGGTCCAACAAAGATTTGCCGAAGCAGAAAAACTGAGATTGGGCCGTTACTGGCCCATCAGTGGTAAAATCAAATTAAAAATGAAATAAACAGGAGCATTTGCCTATACTGCGCAGAATTTTGCATCCATCTTGAAAGTTTTTTTCATTTTTTATACAAATATATCTTAAAAATTTATTGTTTAAAAAAACACTTTCAGGGGTCAATGTTCTAAAACTTTTTATCGGCGTAAAATGCTACCGGCAGTAAATTTTATCGTAAATGATTTTTTTCAATGTTATAAAACTTTTTTTCAAAATTATCGACGATAAATTTTTACAGCCGAAACGTTTACAGTCGATAAATGTTCCGGATGAGCCACCTACGGAAATTTTTGTTGAAGATCCAGAGATATTAATATTCAATTGTAGAAACCTGTGGTTCAGAACTTTTTAAAGTACTAACCTTGAGTTGAAAACTTATTACAAACTCATTCATTTTAATTAAGTGCACATTTCTTTATAAATTTTAGTTTCAAGAGATTTCATTGTTAATATTTTTTTGCTGAAATTGTCATCTAAGAAATGCAACTCATTCTCAAAATTCAAAACTGCTCTCCTTAACTATTTTTTAGGAAAATATTGCCTATAAATCTTATACTTTCATTCAACTTATTATTTATAACCCTAATTCTGAGCTTCTATTTATCTTTTTTTTTTTTCTTTTCTGTTATGTTTTATTATTTTTTTGCTAAATTTATTAAATTAAGCAAAAAATATTAAAACACAACAGAAAAGAAGAAAAAAAAAAAAAAAGAAAAATAGAAGCTCAGAGTTAGGGTTATAAACAATAAGTTGAAGAAAAGTATAAGATTTATAAACAATATTTATCTAAAAAGTAGTTAAAGTTGAAAAAATAAACATTAAATTATTTATTATTTTATTCTTTCTTTATTCTTTCTTAAACTTTCTTTACACCACTACTATTGTTATTGTTATAATTACTCTACTTTTATCATTATAAATATTATTATTTTTACTGTTGTTAATATTGTTATATATTTTTTTTATACTACTGTTTTTTATTATATTATCGTTGTTGTTATTATTGTTTTTTATTATTGTTGCTGTTATTTTTACTGTTCTTATTGTTATTATTATTATTATTATTATTATTATTATTATTATTATTATTATTATTATTATTATTATTATTATTAATATAGTATAGTGTATACTTTTTATAATCTTTACTATTACTTTTAATCACTGTAATTACAACTATTGTTTTTACTTACTGTATTATAATTATTATTAGCATCATTTTATTATTATTGAATTTTAAATGTGTTTACTTCATAATAATCTGAATAAAGTTGTTACATCAAGGTTATTTACAAATAGTACTAATTAGTACAAATAGTAATAAGTACTAATTAGTAATAATTACTAGTTGTAAATTATATATATATATATATATATATATATATATATATATATATGTATATATATATATATATATATATATATATATATATATATATATATATATATATATATATATATATATATATATATATATATGTATATATATATATATATATATATATATATATATATATATATATATATATATATATATATATATATTTACATTATAATGTTGATGTAACAACTTTATTCACAATATATTTGATTTGATTTGATTTAAAAATTTTGAAAGTTTGTAAAAAACAATGAGGCAAGAGCAACGAGAACTAATTGCTGAGCTTATCAGTGAAAAAAAAGATTTACTTTTTGCATCATTTGATAAGTCAAAAAATATCACTAAAAAGTCCAAGTCTGAACTTTGGAAACAGATTTACAATGCTTGCATCGCAAGAGGGATTGAGCTCAAAAGTGTGGAACACCTTCGTACAGTATGTTTAAAAAGATTTTATTTTAAATCTAATATTCCAGTAAAATTTAATAAGTTAATAATGTACCATTGTAGTTTTCCATTAAAATTTAATTTAGTTTAACTGCTCTTTTAAAGTGTTTAAGATTAAATCTTATGTGTTCAATTTTCACACTTTTGTATAGTTAAGTCTAAATACTTTATTGAAAAAGCACTAGTCTATTAGGTAAACATACAAGTGTAAAGTTTTATTTAAAGATTGTTTAATTAAATTAATAAGATAATGGTACCTCATGATTTTAGCTTTACTATTAACAATTAGCTTTACTATTAACAATTTTAACTTTACTATTAACAATGGTACCTCGTGATTTTAGCTTTACTATTAACAAATTCCTGGTGATTTAACTGTAGTGAAAATTAGAACAGTTTGATTTTTGGAAACAATATCAAATATTAGGTATTCAATAGATTTTGATTTATTTCCCCTAAATTTTATTTAAAAATTAAACTTTTCAGGGTGTTTAGGATAGAATCAAAAGATCAACCATGAGGAAAGTGAGCCTTGGAAAGCAGACTGGCTCTGGAGGTGTCTTGCTGAGCAAATTAGACAACACTGTGCTCTCTATTCTTGGCAAGAACTCTGCTTATCTTCAGGGCCTCAATCAAGATGATGATCTACCCATCATGCTGTCTCTTGAAGGCTCTGATCCAAGGCATATCCAGCTTGATGACAGTTTAGGTACACTAAAAAAATTTTTAATTTGTTTTTAGCAGCATTTAAATTATTGTTTCAGATCAAAGGTCTATATTTTCTGTCGTTAACATTAATTGCCAGGCAATGTCAATGCTTAATAAAACATCATATTCTAGAATTGAAACTGATTAGCTTTATCATAGAGTTTGTGTAACTACATGAATTTTATTGTACAATCTTGATAATTAGAAACTAAAATTTTAAATAAGCATTGTTTGAACTACAAAAATACACTATCACTAAAATATGTACTTTAACAAAGTGTTTCTTTTTTTGCTCACCTTTAGAGTGAAAATGAACTTTTTTTGATTTTTAAACAAATTACTTTTCAGATCCGTCAACCTCTACAAGTGTTGATAATTCAATTTCTAGGCCCAACAATTTGATTTCTGAAGCTAACTCTGCAGAAGACGAAAAGGATTCTTCAGGTTGGTTAAATTAGTTTTACAATCTGAGTAATAAATTTGTTAAAAAACTTAAAACAAAATTTTAAAAATATCGCGACAAGAGTAAAATGAACATTTAACTAACAAGTTTATTAGAATACCAGTTTAACAAAGATGCTACTTTACTTAAGAATAAAACAAATGTAAATATTCAATCATCTAGTATTATCATATAGTTTTACTTTAGATTCAAGTTTAATCTTAACATGAGTGTTGCGATTAAGATTAAAAAAACAATTTCAAATTAAAAAATTTCAAACACTTTTTTGCAGATAAGAAAAATCGCAAATGCATGGGTCTAATTTCCCCACTTTGGTGTGACAAAGAGTACAAATCTGTCAAAATGAAAAAAGTTTTATCACACAAGATAAAAAAACTAAAAAACTGATAAAACTTGTGTGACAAGTCACACAAGTTTTGCCTTTCACAGGCTTTTGCTCTTCAAAGCCTTTCACAGGCTTTGCTTTTCACAGGCTTTTGCTCTTCAAAGCCTTTCACAGGCTTTGAAGAGCAAAAAAACTGAATTCAGCTCATGGAAGCCAAACAGAAGTTTTTCGAGTCACATATTCTTGTAAATAAAGCAAAAGTGTTAAAACTTAATTGCGAGGCAACTGAGGCTAAAGAACAATCAGAGTTTTTTAAAGCTGCCCGACTTTCAATTACAAAAGATGTCACCTTGGAGATCAAGGATCACACAACAAACACAGTTATGAAAATTGGCATTTAGATAGCACTAAAATTGTTTGATTTTTTCAAATTTAGCTTAGATTTGTTTTGGTATTTATTTTTTTATAAGCTCTAAATTATTTGTTGCATAATTTATTTTTTACGCATTTAATTCATTTATAATTTTGTTAATAGTTATTTTTTCAAATTAAATAAATCTATTATTAGTTTCTTTGGATTGAGAATCTAAACCGTCAAAATTTTCCAAAAAAAAATTCAAAGTTTATTATAAAATATTTCTATATATTTTTCTAATGTTTTGATTAACAGTCTCATTATACAAACCGCCAATCAAATATGAACTTGTTTATAAACATTTAGCGATAATGTGTATAGAAGAAGATAGTTTTTAAACATATTTTCTTTCCAGTTTTTTGAAGATCGGAGACCATATTGTATATTACATTTGATAGTCTGAACATAAAAGGTCGTCCATAAAGTACGTACGCTAAAATTTAGAAGTTTGACCCTCCCCAATTGCCATGCATACTTTCAAATACCCCTTCCCCTAAAAAGTACGTACGTTTTTTTATTCTTCTTATCATTAAAACTAAGAAAAATTTTTAAAATTAAAGCATGCGTTAAATTAAACTCGATCAATACCTCCCTACCCCATTACATTATTGAACCTTTTTTGCCGATCCCTCTACCCCCTAATCTCCCTTAAATACTTTTATAATACATATAAAACCCTTGATTTTGGAAAACAAATCAAAATCTATTGATAGCTTATAACTTAATATTGTTTAATATCAGTTAAATCAACAGGAATTTGATAAAACAATGGTTAATAGTAAAGCTAAAATCACGAGGTACCATCTTATTATTTTAATTAAACAATCTTTAAATAAAATTTCACACTTGTGTGTTTACCTAATAGACTAGTGCTTTTTCAATAGAGTATTTGGACTCAACTATAAAAAACTACGGTACTGGGTGTGTGTGTATATATATATATATATATATATATATATATATATATATATATATATATATATATATATATATATATATATATATATATATATATATATATATATATATATATATATATATAAATATATATATATATATATATATATATATATATATATATATATATAAATATATATATATATATATATATATATATATATATATATATATATATATATATATATATATTTGATATACTTATAAATATATTTGATATATGTATATAAAAATAACAAATATTTTTTTTTATAAAGTTAATTTATGTTGGGATTTGCAAATTTGAACGGTTAATGCAAGCAATTTCATATCGGAGGCCCGTGATCAAATCGCAATCAAGTTATGACTTATATTCTATATTGAAAAAAAAAATTATCCTAATAACGAATCGAATAAAAATAAGCATCAAATAAATAAGCGTATCCTTTTTTTTTCGGGCACCCCTCTTTAATCTATAAAAAGCGTGTCTTACACGCAACAAGTATAAATAAAAACAAAGCCTAAAACCTGTTTTTTGCGGACTCAAAAAAGGGGTGGGCGTAAGTTTGTGTACACACAGCCAGTGTATAAAAGGTAGAATGTGTGTGCATAGAGAGACACTCTCCCCACCCATACAAAATTTTATGTTGACAAACTATCTTTAATCAGAAAATTAGCTTTCTATTAATTAACTGGTGAATTATGGAAAACGATGAGAAGGTATAATGGTTTTATTTTTTTCTTTAAGTTGATATTTATCCAAAAATATTTATTTATTAAGATTTTGTTTTCGCAAAAAAATATGTTAATAATTAAAAACAACATCATTTGCTGCTAAAAGTTATCTATAAAAAAGTTGTTGCATCTATACTGATAAATAGACTCTAACTCAGTCTCTACTATACACCTTCTGGGATTATCTACAACTAAAATAAGTTGCAATAGAAAAAAATTAATTGTGATAAATTAGAAAAAAAGCATTACTAAGGAATTTCTTTTAAAGATAATGCGTACGTACTTTTAAATTGAACTCTCCCCCATACGCTATTTAAAGACCTCCCCCTTCCCCTCTATAAGAGTAAGTACTTTATGGACGGCCATAGACATAAAAGGTACATTAATCAAATTAACCTGTCCGAAATTTAATAAAAAATTCTAAAACAGAACTGCTTATAGTGAAAGTGGATAATATGAATATTTATTTCTATGAAATTTTCAAACATTATTCAAAAAATACTAATAAGATTGATAAATTAATTTTAATTTTTTTTTTCCAATTTTAATTAAAATTTTACTTTTCAGAAACAGATTTAGTATCTTGTGAAGAAAAGGAGAAATTTATCTCTAGGAGTGCTATTAACAGGTTCATCCTCTAGTTCAGTAATATCTGGTTGAAACTGCACTTCTTCATCTTCATCAAATTCGCAGGTGTCACCAAAAGAGATAACCAGGTTGTGCAAAATGCAAGCAGCCATGACAAACTTTGGTGGATCTCTCATGTTTTTCAGACGGAACTCTGTCGAAAGTGAATGAAACCGTTTTTTTAGAACACCAAAGCTTCCTTCAACAACATTTCTGGTGCTGCTGTGAGCCTGGTTAAATCATGTTTTTGCCTGATCTGGAGTTGACGGGTACGGCGTGATTAGCCTTTTCGCAAAGAATAACCAGAGTCACCAAGAATGACAGCACCTTGAAATGGCCTTTGGACATTTGTTTCCCACGCCTCCCATAGCTTACTCTCCTTTACAATGCGGCTGTCATGGCAACGACCAGGATTGTTGGTGTTCACATAGTAGAATGCCATGTTGGGGCCGGCAACAGCCAAAATGTTGATGGCATGATTCTGGTGATGATGTTTCATCAATTTTAGGTGGCAATGATGATGCTTCATCAATTTTAGGTGGCATCACTTGAACCAATGTTCCATCGATTGCACCTTATATAAGAAAAATAGACAAGGATAGAAAAAAATATTGTTTAAATAAATAAACAAGGATAAAAAAAAATATTGATTTTAATTAATTTAAAATACAGCGACTTTTTAGGATTACTAAAAAGTTTTTCATCATTTTAAGTTGTGTCAGTCAAACAATGCACAAAACTATATCAAGCAATTAATTGATTTTTTTACTATTGACAAACCTGCAACACATGGAAAGCTACCCAGTTTAAAAAATCCATCAGCAAGTCTTGAGGAGTCATTAGGCCATTTAATCACTTCATTTTTGAGTGACTGGATGGCATTGGCAACTCGATGGACTGTTGAGTGGATGGTTTTGGTATCATCACCACGGGCATCTCGTAAAAGGTGGTAAAAAGCTGATGTTCACAAGAACTGAGAAAACAGCAAAATCTAAAAAGCAACATGTTTTTATATTTTCATTACAAACTGTGGTTGTATCTAACAATTAATATTATTTCAGTGAATTACAGTATGTAGGTTTATTGTGGCAATTTCATTATAAAAAAACTGAAGAGAGGATTATAACTACTATTACTGATGCTACTTTAATACGCTGAAAGAAATTTTGCTGAACAACAATTGGCTGTATTCAGCCATTGGAGCCTCTGTTCTTTCCAACCTAACTTAACCTAATCAATCAAGCCTTCATCAATACCTAGGGTTTTTGATTTTCAGTGAAGCTACTAATTCAGCCCTAATGTTTGTTGTTGAATGTCATTTAGCCAAATGTTATTTGGCAAATCAAGACCCTATTACTTTATCAAAGCCTTATTTCCAAGTTCTTGCAAAAATGTATAATAAACAAACCTGTTCTCGTGGTGAAAGTGGATGATTCCTTTTTGTTGGATGCTGAAGAATATTAGATAGTCTCAATTCGAGATAATCAATCACAGCCCGTGGAACTCGGTTTTGTTGACTGTAGACAATATCAGACACTTCTTCAGAAAACTTCCGTTCTTTGAACTAAAAATAAAATAAATTGATTATGCTTAGTGTTTCTTGATACAGTCCCAGGATAAAAAATTCTATAGAATTTCTAAAAGACTTTTATTTCTATAGAAATTGCATAGAAATAATCAGATTCTATGGAATTTCTATAGACTAATTAGGGTTAGCTCTAACCCTAACAAGAAAATAACTTAAGTTTTGAAAAAATATATATTTTTAACTACCTAAACGTGCTTCAATATTATTTAAACTTTTTTTGTATAAATAAGTCATACTTAAAAAAAAAAACATTAAAAAAAAAAGATTTCAAGTGTCTTTGAGAAAATGATTACCTAAAAAACAATATTTTTTAATTTTATTACAAAAAGTTGCTTATTAAATAATTTTGATAAAAAAAAGAAGTATTTTTTCTAATTTTGTTTGAAAAAAATGTTTTTTCTAAAAATCTCTATTAAATTATGCTTCTTTTTATACCAACCTTGACCTATTTATATTTGTTTTTAAATAATATTAGGGCACATTAATTTTATTTTGTTTTATATACTATTTTCCCTGAAAAAAAAGATTACACATCACATTTATTTCCTTTTAGTTGAAGTCTGTTCTACGTCTTTAGCAATTTGGCCAGTCAAATTTTTGTGAATAATGAATGATTTTCATCCAATATGGCCAAGCAATTTGTTTTTAAATTTTTAATCATTACCATCATATAGTCTTTCAGTAGCAGAAATATATCCATACTATCTAAAGGTATTTTCCATTCTGTCACAAATCGTAAAGAGTTTAAAAATCTTTTTTTGGCTATTATCTGGTCTGACCTCCATGTTTATGCCTCATCTTGCTCTTGTTGTACAGTGGTTCATTATATAAATTTGATGTCTTGAACATTAAAACTCTGTTGAGATTTGCAACAAGGCATTTTGCATGGCTTTTGCTGGATAATACAAAGTCAATCGAATGATTATAAAATTTCATATTTCTAGCAATTTATGTATATTAGCTAATGTTCTTTGTGTTTTTAACTAAAAATAGTTGTTTGAAACATTAAAAAATTATAATAGGATTGAAATGTCAATTACCTAAATTCTAAAAAAAGTTTTTTAAAAATTATATATATATATAATTTTTATTTTTGTTATATATATATATATATATATATATATATATATATATATATATATATATATATATATATATATATATATATATATATATATATATATATTGTAATTAGTGTAAATAATTGTATTATATATATAAACTTTTAATATGATGCGTCAGAAGGAATGTTGTGGGCGCGTCGTATATATTATATTGTACATAGCGTTTATACTGTTTATTATACTCTCGGGGGTATTTGCAAATGTATATATATTGAGTAAAGATATTCAGAAAGTCAGTAAGAAAAAACAAATATATTTTATTATTACAAGCTATTTTGGCTATGAGTATCGTTATAAAGTTTTCGGATCTGGTATCACAATAAGACGGTTCGGGTGATTTTTCAGAATGGATACAGAAATTGGAACTGGTAGCAAGACTTCAAAAAGTTGACAAGCTGCATGTGGTGCTCCCCTTATTTCTTTCTGGTGGGGCGTTTGCCGTTTATCAAGGCCTAAGTGATGAGATAAAAGAAGACTACAATGAAGTGAAAACTGCACTGACTATTGCCTTCTTTGCTTTTCCGCTAACAGCATACGAAGAGTTCGTAAATCGCCGTCTTAAAGAGAATGAATCCGTTGACGTATATCTCACAGAATTAACAAAACTGAGCAAGCTAATATCATCTTACGTAAGCGAAGAGTGGATAAGGTGCGCATTTATTCTTGGATTACCTGACGAAGCAAGAAAACAGCTGCAAGCTGCATGCTCAATATCAACAATGTCGCTGTGCCAGATCGCTGAAAAATCCAGAAGTTTGGTAATTTTACGTTGCAAAGAATCGTGTTTTGTCAGTTGCGTAAATCCGGTTGCCATTAGTTCAAGACAGGTTCCTAAAGGACGCTGAAAAAAGACCATAATGTGCTACCGTTGGTGAGGATGGATATATCAGTCAAAATTGCAGCAAATA